AGTGGATACCCACCTCCTCTCGGAGTTTGGGGATTATCTTCTTTTAAAGTATATCAATGCTTGCATCTTGCTTTTTGGGGGGAGAAGGCGTTGTTCTTTTTGTTTCTTGTTTTAGTCCTAGTTAATCATTTTGAATTGTCCTGTCATCCTGGGAGCTTCATGTCTTGCACAGCAGAAGGAACTGACTAGAAAGCCCAAAGAGCAGCATTTATGCCCAGAGTGGGCCTGGATCACACTCTGCCCCATAACTGCTGCCATCAGGGGGCCAAAATTCTTTGAGGAAATTCCACCTATTTCAGATGAAGGAGCAAGAATTGTGTGATACTGCTTCCCTCGTGATGTATTCAGACAGGTCAGTAGCTTTCCCATTGTACTTACCTAGCATTTATAAAGCTCTACCCACATAAATAAATAAATGCCAAAATTTTCAGAAGTGGCTGCTGATTGTGGGTGCATCAATTTTGGGGTGTGCAACATGAGACACTTTGGAGCCTGATTTTCAGAATAGTTTCATATTCTCTGTGTGTATATAAAGTCTGCTGCAGTTTCCACGGTAAACATCTGATGAAGTGAGCTGTAGCTCACGAAAGCTCATGCTCAAATAAATTGGTTAGTCTCTAAGGTGCCACAAGTACTCCTTTTCTTTTTGCGAATACAGACTAACACGGCTGTTCCTCTGAAACCTGTGATAGTTCTATTAGCATTGAAGCCACCGGCAAACTCTCTCTTATCTCTGCTGGTGTCATTATCACTGTCCATCAAGATGGCTGATGCTGGCAAGAGGCTCTGAAATGCTGGTATCTAGCATCAGAAAAACAAACCTGCAGCTTCTTCCTGGTGAGGAATATTACATATGCCCCTGAGGCCTGTTGCAATGCCACACTGAGGGAAAGGGTCAGCTTGCTTTTAAATTGACCCAGACACACAAGGGAGGCTGTCAGCACTTCTTTGGGTCTATTGTTAACTGTCTCTTTTAATATAGTAGGTGAAATGAAGGGAGCAGTGTGTGCCTATGTGGGAGAGAGGCAGTTAATGGGTTAACAGTTTTCTCTCCGCTCTTCCTTCCTTTAATAAACTTAGATTTCCCTAGTCAGCTCACTTTTTAATTTCCTTTTGGTGTGACTATAATGCTGTAAGTTTCCTTAAATTCAGCAGGGCACCTCAGGACAGGCTCTGTATGAGGAGACTGAGTCTGCAATAATGTGTCTGATTCAGTGAGTTAGGGGCTGAGAGGGAAGGAACCATGGTGTGACTTTCCTATTAATGAAGCAGACTGGTTTCTATGGAGATGCCTTGCTCTCCTATCAGTCGCCATCTCCCCCCTCCCAAGGTGTCTCAGGCAAGCAGTGGCTGAAGGGAAGCAGGCACACACCACGCCCAACACACAGCTATATTCTCTGACCTGTCCCCAGTGGGCTCAATAAACAGATCCCTCACCAAGGGTGTTAAATTGCAAGAGCAGCCTTCATGGGCTGTGCCACATGCCTGTCTGCTTTTGGAGATACTGCGCTGTGGGCGAGAGGGAGCAGCAGATGCCAGTTTTTGCAGACAGAAGAGTTACCACATGAATTGTGCTGCAATTCACTTACAAGGGGGAAGGGGGTGTCTAAAAATAGCAAATATCTGACAGAAAAATCAAAGGCACCAGGCTGCTGTAGAACAGAATGTGATGACTCACTAGACTTTTCATCACTCTGAAGCCCCGGATTCGAAGCCCATTTTAGTCCAAGTAAAATAAGTTTGCTGGCCTCAGATGGGTGGCTGTCCATATTCCTTACAGCTGCCTCATGTTTCTGAGTGATTGGGACACTCAGCAGAGTGGCCTTCAAAAAAGGAGAAGGAAAGGGCTACAGGTTGGGACTAAAGTGATCCAGGACTGGGAATCACATGGAGTGCTGCAGGTCAGGTTTGAGGGGCAGGTCAGGAGCAGAGATGTGTGCATGAGGGGCTAGGCATTCTATAGCAGGGTGTCAGAGTAACAGCCGTGTTAGTCTGTATTCACAAAAAGAAAAGGAGTGCTTGTGGCACTTTAGAGACTAACCAATTTATTTGAGCATAAGCTTTCGTGAGCTACAGCTCACTTCATCGGATGTATACTGTGGAAAATACAGAAGACGTTTTTATACACACAAACCATGAAAAAATGGGTGTTTATCACTACAAAAGGTTTTCTCTCCCCCCACCCCACTCTCCTGCTGGTAATAGCTTATCTAAAGTGATCACTCTCCTTACAATGTGTATGATAATCAAGCTGGGCCATTTCCAGCACAAATCCAGGTTTTCTCCCCCCCCCCCCCCAACAAACCCACTCGCCTGTTGGCAACAGCTTATGTAAAGTGATCACTCTCTTTACAATGTGTATGATAATCAAGGTGGGCCATTTCCAGCACAAATCCAGGTGTGATGCAGGGTGTGATGCAGGTCAATACTGAGGTGCACTGCGTCCTGTGTTGGCCATGGGGACATTGACAGAGCTGTGGAAGATGCTGAAGGATTGCAATAGCAGAGGTTACTGCAGAGACCGGATTGAGGTGAGTCAGTAGAGTTGTGCTAGAAAGCCCAGGATTGAAGTAGGCTGCAGGTCTGGGTTGTGGTGTACTTGCAGACCTATATAGATTCAAGAGCATTGGAGAGACATTTCACAGCCCCTGTCTGACTCTGGGCAGTGCTATCAGTCTTCAGTTTTCATAATCACCAAGATTTAAATGAGAAAATGTGAAGTAACCTGCGCAAAGTTTCCTAGGGATTGGGTTGGCAGGGAGGAGTAGTCTTCAAATCCCTAGGTACTCTGCGGCAGGTTGGTCCCAATATCTATGGCAAGGGCCCTGGATTCTGTTATGCTCTGGTGCAGCAGGCTGGGAATTCCATGACAGCTTAATTTTAATTTTTTTATAAGGAAGCTTCCAGTAAATTTGATATGAAAATAAACACCACAGCAAGAGCGGGACCTGTGGCAATTTTTGCTGCTATTGAATACAGCAGACCTGGGTATCACTGACTACTTCAGATGTAACCAAGTAGGTGAGAAGGAACTCCCAATGGCAAATTGCCCCAATCTTGTTTGGAAGTAAGGGTATCCTCAGAACCTCTCCTCTTCTTCCTTTATAAAAAAGGGATTAAGTAAAATTGGCCTGATTGACCATCTGAGCCTTTTACAGGTTGGAACATTTTGCTGATCTCCTTTGTGACACCAGCCCTGTGGGGGACCCCTGGGAGACATACTATACCATTTCCCCACCACATTTTAAAATTATCTTAATCAGAATGATGTCTCTACTGTAAATTGAGCTGTACAGCTTCTCCCACCTTCTCTCCCAAAACTATTTCCTTGGCTCTTTTGCTCTTCTCTCTCTGTGACAACTCGTGCTAGTTACAACCTTGAACACCAGTTGGTGCCACAAGTCCTCCTTTTCTTTTTGCAGATACAGACTAACACGGCTGCTACTCTGAAACCAGTTCTAAGTGGATGACTCAGAACTCAATCTCCTGTGTCTCAGTCTTCCATCCTTTTGTCTCCCATCTCTCTTGTTTCTGCTCGCTCCCTCTGAGACACAAAGGACACCTCCTGTGCTCTTATGGACTTGGTATTTTACTGAAGTGCTAATGTTTGAGAGGAAGTCAGCACTGAAGGGGTTAAAATTGGGGACAGGCCCAAACCAGAACCTCAAATCCACACCACCGTTGGCTGTTCTCAAAGGAAAAGGTATTATATTGGAAATGCAGCTCCCCTAATCCCATGCACCAGTTAGGGTATTCAGATCCAAATTCACCTTTACAGTTTTGATTCACAGTCAGCTCCAAATACCATAAAAGGCCTAATTTCCAAATCCTATCCGCTCATCCCTTCTCATCTTTAAGTGTGAAGTAATATGCATTGGAGAACATAATCCCAATGATACATACAAAATGATGGGGTTTAAATTAGCTGTTACCACTCAAGAAAGACATCTTGGCGTCATTGTGGATAGTTCTCGGAAAACATCCACTCAATGTGCAGCAGCAGTCAAAAACTCTAACAATGTTGGGAACCATTAGGAAAGAGAAAGATAATAAGACCAAAAATATAATAATGCCATTATATAAATCCAAGGTATGCCCATAGCTTGAATACTGCATGCAGTTCAGTTCATCCCAGTTCAAAAATGATATATTAGAATTGGAAAAGGTTCAGAGAAGGGTTACAAAAATAATGAAGGGTATGGAACAGCTGCTATATGAGAAGAGTTTAAGAAGCCTAGGACTGTCCATTTTTAAAAAAGAGAGGACTATGGGGGATGTGATAGAGGGCTATAAAATCATTAACCATGTGGAGAAAGTGAATAGGGAAGTTTTGTTTACCCCTTTGCAAAATGAGGGGTCAGCCAATGAAAAAAAAAGGCAGCAGGTTTAAAAAAAAAAAAGGCAGTACTTCTTCACCCAATGCACAGTTAACCAGTGGAACTCATTGCCAGAGGATGCTGTGATGGCCAAAAGTATAAATGAGTTCAGAAAAGAATTAGATAAGTTCATGGAGGATAGGTCCATAGTTATTAGCCAAGATGGTTAGCGGTGCAACTTCATCTTTTGGGTGTCCCTAAACCTCTGACTGCTAGTTGGTACTGGATGATGGGATGGATCACTCAATAATTCCCTGTTCTTCCATCTGAAGCATTTGGCACTGACCACTTTTGGAAGACAGGTGACTGAGCTAGATGGACCATTGGTGTGACCCAATATGTCTGGTCTTATGTTCTTCACAGCTTCACTAAAGCCTCTCCAGCACTGCTTTTACATTTTCTTGCTAAAAAGCAAGACAGGAATCTTCCTGTGTTTGGCAAGGGTGTGACCCTGAACTCTATCTCACGCCACAGCATAACCTTATGCCATCTATGTACTCAGTGGTATAACTCAAAAGGTCTTCCTCAGATTTCCACTGACACACCACAAAAATGTTACACATCTGATTTGTGAGTTAGAGGCATAGGGGACAATTAAATCCCACAATTAAAACAGACACTATGTTCACAGTTTGGAATTATTTATTTACTATTGAAGATTTACATTTGTGCTGTAATGTCCAACATGATTGAAAAATCTCATGCTCTTCTTTTGTGCTTTGGACTGTGAGTACAAGGTAGACAACCAAAAGCTGGTTCTGTACAATAAAGACATCAGTGAAAGGGGCTGAGTAACCAGAAGAGCTTGGTCCTTCCTGTTGGAAGGCCACATGTCACCATTTTTCTGTGCTGTTCATTGAATGCTAAGTATTATTATTTCCGATAGCTCATCACTCTGTTAACTTTCTTTAAGAGAACAAAATTCTGTTGTGATTGAGCTGAACTTTAAAACATGTAACATGTTCCATCTCAGCTCTGTAATTAGATCTAATCAGACCTAAACTGACATTCACAAAAGTGCAAGAAATGAGGCCAAAAGTTCAGTGCCTTTGGTAAATTTGTCATAGCGCTAGTAAATGTCATTGTGTTGAACTCTAGCCTCTGTTACTGATGTGGACTGTACCCTATTTTCCACCTCATTATTGAATCACATATGAATCATGCATTTGCTGGTGAATATCAATTGAAAACTTGCACTACACAGTACATAACAGAGAACCAATGACTCTTTACATTGTGAAGTGGAGGTAATTACAAGTGAGTCCAGTATGTAGTTCAGCTGGACATAATAGAAATCAAGTAATGCTGGTTGCAATTGTAAGATAACTGAATTTCCTGTGTATCGTTTAATGATAAAAGAGGGGCTCAGTCTGGAATCTCAGATCCAAATCCCAGGCAAACACTGGGAAACTTGAATTCAGGCCCTTCAGCTCTTGGGCGTATCTCTCTAATGGAGCCAAACTACAACCTCCTCCCATCTTGAGGAAAAAAACTTTGTATCTGGTTCCAGCTTCCTGATGATGGGTAATAATATCATACACTTCTCTAGCTCCTTTCCTCGGAGGCTTTCCAAACATTGGGCCAGATTCTCCTCTCACTTATACTGGTGCAAGTCTATTGACTTTAATGGAGTTGCACTTCAGTGTGTGAAAGCATAAATGAGTCCATCAATTTACTGAGCCTCATGCTGACCCTGGTGAGGATATATAGTGATCACTTCATTCATCACTGAAATGAAATTCCTTTGCATATCAAACACAGCATTTGTTTCACAGCAAGCAACCACACTGCTGAACAATTTAGGACCGGAAGTTTGAAATTGCAGTTTAGGGAGGACAGGATGTCGCTGCTACATCATTAGAATTGGGCAGGGAGACCAAATATAACACTGACTTACAAAACATAGCATAGAAACTTTAATAACTAACAATTTTTTCCAACTATCCTCCCTTACTTCCATGCTGGTACATTGATTCAGCGCTAACAGACAGAACAGAACTATCCACACAGCTGGGATACAGCACCCTACACTTAGAGTACATATTGTAACAGAATAGAGGGGGGTTTTTTACATACTGATCACAAGTCAGGTTTTGTAGTCCCAATACCCTTTTCATGTAAAAAATCCACAGATGGGAAACATATATGACAAATGGTACATATGGAATTAGGGAGCTGCATTTCCAGTGCTGTATCCCCTCCTCCATGCTACCCCACTATTTCCACAATTTCACTCCCCTCTGCACTATAAGGGACCATAACAACCAGTTTAATTAATACCACCATGTTTGAATTGTGATCAATAACTTGATGACCTGGATTTCTGGTCATAGAGATATCTGGTCCTTCGGGATCTCCAGTGCTAGCCAACTATCCTAACACCATGAAAAAATGCCTTATCATAAAAATAAGGCAGATTAACAGCACTCAGAGGAAATTATAGAGGAAACTGAATGTTAAAATCAGTTTGCACAGTTAAAACAAAACAAAAAAAAAGTTCCAGATCTGTAGTAAGTCTACAGCCAAATTATAGATACTGCAAGAGGTTGGGATCAAACATCCTGAATGATACTTCAGTCTTATCATTACGATAAGTTAACACTATTAATTCATGGTATATTACTGTTTTATAATTATAAAACAATGTAAAATAGAGGTAATCGGAGGCTAAGATGTATGGGGTAAGATTCACCAACATGCAGCCTCTTATTTCAATCAAGTCTATACTTTGATTTAAATAAATGTTCAATCTTATTATACTGCTGTTGATATTATAGGCATTGTGCCATGTAAACTGGAATGCACAACAGTGTGGCTAACACAACTTTTAGCTGTAATCCATTTTTTTAGCATCTCCATGAGTCTTCCTCCATCTTGTTCAGAATTTTGGCTCTTGCTTCTTAATTAAGCAGCAATCTTCTGTAGGCAAGGGAACGAACTGTGAATAATACAGGTTTAAAGTGACCAAGCCTTATCAAATGTGGTGGAGATTAGGTAATTGTTAATATAAATACTTTGGTTTTCGTAGTTTTACTCAAATTTAATGGTGCATCAATTCGATCATTGCTAGAATTAAGTGGAAACACTGTAATTTTAGTCTCATGTCCTACTCTTACGTATTCCAGAGCTATGGACAGTATGATCATATCTTTAGCCCCTTGAATGCCTTGTCCCCATGCATGTCTCTTAAAGGTGAGCCTGCTGTTTGCAATGGAGTGGCAGGACAAGCAGTGAGCTCATAGGACATAGCAATATCTCTGTCGACGATACCCCTTCTGTATGCCAAGACACAGAAAGGGGAGTAAATAATTACATTTAAATCAGGCCAAATCTCAAAAGCACAAGAGAAAGGTGATGGTGAGTTAGTGGGCCAGTGAAGAGAAAGTCATTCAGTCCTGAGATGATGTAGTACCTGGCAGCCTTCTGGGCTGCTCCTCTAGGCAGTGCTGGTAACTAAGATAGGGTTTCAGTATGGCACTCAGCATCCAACCCAGACTGTTGGTGAAACAATCCCATGTAATTTACTCAGTCTCATCTGCTTCCTGGAACATAATCAGAATATCCAACGCCTGCTCACCTCAGAAATTAGTTCATTTCTAAGCAGAAGGGATGGCAGTAAGTAGAAGGATTTGTGGCAAATCATTGGCAATAACTGGATAGAACACCATCAGTGATTTTTCTGAATTGTAGGATGGATCGCTGTTCTGTTCATTCCCTCTGGGGCACCTGGCATTGGCCACTGTCGGAAGACAAGTTACTGGGCTAGACCCAATATGGTCTGACCCAATATGGCCGTTTTTATGTTCTTATGCCAATGACCTGCATGTGAGAGACAGAGAGGAGAGGTCCCCCAAGAACACTGGGAGAAAGAGGTATACACTACTTATATATATATATATAGATTTGGGATAAGGGACCTTGATGCTGTCATGTTTTCAATGGCTTTTAGCAACCCTAAATCCAAGGTATCAAAAACTACAGCAATGAAGGAACAGGAAGGAATCCAGACACAGGGTTTGGCAGGTGCTCACTTCAAAGGCTGGGTATGTACAGTACACTCTCAGAAGAATACCTGTGCTTCTTTGCCTCTCTCACTCTTTTTATATGATCTACTCTCTCTCTCCCATCTTTCTCTGTTTTTCTCGGTGTTCCTCTACTGTCTTTTTCCATTTCTGCCTCTTTTTCATATCTCAGGAATCAGTTTATTTTTGCTATTTTTGTTCCATATGACCACATAAAGCAATATGGAAAACATTGACTGCAAAATGGACACAACTATTGCAGAGACCACCACCCCAATGGGGGCTTTGGTGATGAAGGTTTGTTGACAGGTCAGAAACCTGGGACTGAGTTATAACCTTCTGGCCCATCTATTTCCATTACTTGGTTTTTTCACAGGAATAGAGACAGATTTTAAGTATATACCAGGGGAAAATGATAGCGTGTGTTAGCATCTCTAATTTGGGGAGGTCAAACTATGCAGAGAGCCCAGTCACTTCCACTAGAGAACTTGGCTACCACATTCTGAGATGGGAGAAGGCCTGAGTTTTGAGCCTGAATTTTACATTCCCGAGAGGAGCTCAGAAATCCTGTGTTTCTGAAAAAAGGTGTACAGGGGCAAAAAACAAACAAAAAGGTGGGTTGTGCCTTTTTTTCATTTTGTATTCATAGAAAAATTCTTCTTGTACGTATTAACCTTAGAAATGTCAATCTGCGCATCCCTGTTTTGCTGCGGTCTCTGTAGTAGAGCTAGACACAGACAGGGAGATCTCTCTCTGCCATTAATTGAAGGGCTAGAGGTGTTAACTCTTTAACAAAGAGAGTTTTTCTTCCAAATTGTTTGTCAAGTGTTTGATTTTAAAAATGTTAATAAAAAGACAAAGTGGTTTGAACACTGTGAATAAAACTCACTTTCCCTCTTATTTAATCAGGTTTCCCTTCTATGGTATGCTGTATACCTGCTAGCTCTCCAGTCATCTATAGAGTCTTCAAGGGAAAGCAGGGTAGATAAGACCTGAACATATAAAATAAAAAACAAGCAGAAAACTAAATAAATAAATAAAAACCAGGCCTTCTTTCTTCATCATAAAGCAGTAAATAAGAACACAAGCCCATTTCCCCCCCTTTCAGCTCACCTTTAAATATAAACACATACAAAAGCCTATCTGACAGTCCCCATTTATTTTCACCAGCAGCTTTTCAGTGTCAGAATCTCGTCCTTGTAGAAGTTAGAGGTCTGTTGGGGTCATGCATTCCATCCCTAGGAGAGAGTTCAGGACTCTTCCCTACAATGTACGCTTCAGGACTGTGCCTGGTCTAGCTTGAGAGAGTCCTTGTGGCAGGAAACCCGAAAAAGGCAGTGTCCATAACAGAATGCTGTGATTGGTCATTTTGTGGATGGGTGTGGTTCACAGTACTGCAAGATGAAATATAACTTGGCTTACTCCTCCTGACTCAGAGACCTCCCAGTATGAAAGGCAGTTGGCTGGTCATGACAGAGATTGCCTGGCTACATATGAAGTTGGTGCCACATGGCTATCTGCCTCCTGGGGTTCCTCAGCATCTCCTCCCAGTGGTTCCTCTCTGTGCCTGTGGCATGCAGACCCAGGCTGCACTTGCCCAGTGATTGGCTCTGCCCGAGGCCGTCTTGGCTTAGCATTTCTAGCACCACACTGGAGGTGTGTAGCAGCTCTTGGGGCACTTCAAACATGATCATCTCATTCCAGACTGGGTTGATCTTGTGTTTTGCATGCTTTGTCTGCTTCTTCAGTTTCAGAGACTGGTGCTTCAGGATCACCTTGACAGATACATCTGCATGGGAAATGAAGGAAAGAAAGACACCACAGTGATGAGCACAGGACAGGCAGAGAGCCATTAAAAGAGAATCTGAACTAATGTCTATGGACCAAAGGAAAAGCACATGAGCAACTTCTAATTGTTTTCTCTCTCAAAATTATTTTAGTTATTTTTGCTTTTTAACCCCATTTTATTAAGCCCCAGCTGCACAGGCAGATGTTATAGAATATCAGACACTACAACCTCTTCAGACTGAGATCAGCATCTGGATCTAGAGCACTCCTTTGGAGTTCAGGGAAGTTTGAATCCAAGGCTTTTGTGTACCCTGAGATAGAGCTGAAGGCCTGAGATGGAGTTTGGGACACAGATCTGGGATTGGATTCTGAACACCTCCAAAGTTTGGGGTTTCCATCCAGTATTCCATCCACAAAAGCAATGGGTCCCATTTCCCTGCATGGAAAGAACCTGCAAAGGGAAGAGGAAACTGCTGAATTCTAATATGAATTCTTTTGCCAGAGTGGATATGGCTTGTCCCATGTTGGGAGAATCCTATGGATTCCTTCCTCAACCTATGGATCCCATGAGATCACAGGAGGCAAGAAGGATTCACGGTGATGACTCTTGCCTCCTTTCTATCACCTGGCTATACAGGTCTTGCAGGTGCATGCTTCCAAAGACTCTCCCACTCTTCCCGTAAGGGGATGTGGTGGGAAGTTCTGCAGTGCAGAGGATGAAGCAGTGCAAGTTAACGTAGCCTCAGGGTTGCAGGTTGGAGGGAAGTCTTGGAAGACTATAACTGGCTCCCTTTCCTTACCCTACTCCTTGAAGGCCTTCAGATGGTTCAAGGGCAAGAAAGGATCATTATGCACAAGCAGAACTCCCCCTTTCACAGGAGAGTGTGGCGAAGTGGTCTGAAACTGTTGTGCAGTACTTTAGCAAAATAGTAGCAGGGCTTCTGGCTCTTGCTGAACCCCCTCTGCTCCACCCTCTCCTTGCCTGTCCTGAAACCACACCACAAAATGCAGTCTTTGCCACCATTGGTTTCTATCTGTAATTGGACCATTAATGGTCATAGAATGATACAGTTACAATGAGTAGGCAGATGAATATATAACTATGTGCTGTGTAACTAGGATATGACTACCTTAATTTATGTGCAGGATTTCTAGATATGGGGATGAGGGGCATTAGATTACATTGTGACTGTATTGACTCACCATAAATCAGGTCACCCTCATTCCATTGTGTCCTATAGAAATTTGCCCAATTCCCCTGTTGCTGTTCCTCACTCACCTTTTCCCAAGAGATCTTTCAGCTGTTTGGAATGGAGATTCTTGGCTTTTATGAGCACCACAAGCAAGCGGTTTGCTGCTGGCAGATAGCTGATGGAGAGGAGTATCTCCCCATAGCCTGCATCCGGCTCCTAGAAGTCAAGAAGAAAAGCATGAAAGAAAGGCAAATTCAAAATCCACTCTTGTCCATACCATTGAGCAATGTGGGGCCAAAGATCAATGAGAAACTCTCAAATGCAGCAAGTCATGTTGTCTCTGGATCCTAGCCCTATTACACAAGGATCCCCAGTTAGACTAGTTGAGGTCTGATGGAATGAAGCAGAGAGTAGGCTCTTGGACAGAACTCATCTGAAAGGAAGTTCACAGTAGTGCTCTCCTCATTGATTCACCTGACTGTGTTGGTTAACCCTTTCATTGCTGCTGGAAAATAACTGTTTCCTATGTCATTCAGTGGGACATTTACTTGAGAGAATGGAGAGTCGGGATGTAACAGATATAGTATGCTGGGCAGTACCAGAAAGATGTAAACAGAGAAATGTACCTGCATCCCTTAGCCTTTATCCTTTTCTGACAGATTATCCTGCAGCTGCCTCTCCAGCTGATTCATGTTTCTTGCTTTGATTATTTCCTTTGGCCATTTGTTCCTTATATCAGCTACCCTTTATGTGATAAAATTCCATCTAAACTTAAGTCCTGGCTTTAAATAATCCAGATGTGCTATCCCCAGAGAAAGAGAAGAAAATGCCCATGGGTACCACAACACTAACTTACACTCATACACAGAATGAACCAGAGCTAGTCACTTAAGCTTGGAAGGGTATTTTAAAATATATATATATTGTCATAAATATAAAGGGAAGGGTAATCACCTTTAAAATCCCTCCTGGCCAGAGGAAAAATCCTTTCACCTGTAAAGGGTTAAGAAGCTAAAGATAACCTCGCTGGCACCTGACCAAAATGACCAATGAGGAGACAAGATACTTTCAAAAGCTGGGAGGAGGGAGAAAAACAAGGGGTCTGGGTCTGTTTGTGTGATGCTTTTGCCGGGGACAGAACAGGAATGGAGTCTTAGAACTTAATAAGTAATCTAGCTAGATATGCGTTAGATTATGATTTCTTTAAATGGCTGAGAAAATTAAGCTGAGCTGAATAGAATGAATATTCCTGTCTGTGTGTCTTTTTTGTAACTTAAGATTTTGCCTAGAGGGATTCTCTATGTTTTGAATCTAATTACCCTGTAAGGTATTTACCATCCTGATTTTACAGAGGTGATTCTTTTTTACTTCTATTAAAAGTCTTCTTGTAAGGAAACTGAATGCTTTTTCATTGTTCTTAAGATCCAAGGGTTTGGGTCTGTGGTCACCTATGCAAATTGGTGAGGATTTTACCAAACCTTCCCCAGGAAGTGGGGTGCAAGGGTTGGGAGGATTTTGGGGGGAAAGATGTTTCTAAACGACACTTTCCTAATAAAAATAAACCCAGATAAATGTTTGGTGGTGGCAGTGGAAGTCCCAGGGCAAAGGGTAAAATAGTTTGTACCTTGGGGAAATTTTAATCTAAACTGGTAAAAGTAAGCTTAGGAGGTTTTCATGCAGGTCCCCACATCTGTACCCTAGAGTTCAGAGTGGGGAAAGAACCTTGATCTATATATGTGTGTGTGTGTGTGTGTGTATAAAATCAGCACTTGTGCCATTTGTTTTGCTTTCTTGGCATGTCTACTCCCAAATCTGTGAGTGATTCCCTCTATTTTCCCCAAGCTCTGGTTTCTTTAAGGTAGATGCTCTGAATGATCCAACTTTCACTTTCCTCTCTCTTTCCCTCCCTCTCCCGCCCTCCATGTATACCTGTAGGCAGAACAAGAAGAAAATAATCATGCTGACAACTGATCTTTCCTTTGAAAATGACATCATTTAGTGGTGGGGAGTCAGAGGAGTGAAAGAGAGAGAATGTGTGTGTGCACAGAGATATGAAAGGGGAAAGCAAAGGGGAAGTAATTATTCACTCAAGTAGTACCAGCTTGTGACAGAAACCTCATTTTAATGTGCGGTTAATGGTCCAGAAAGGTCCTTGAAAGCCACTGTTCAATTGAGTGAATTCCCTTTGGACTTCCCAACAAAGACTAGAATCTTTAGGAGAGAGTTCCCTTATCCAGGACTTTTTTGTCCCTTCCTCTCTCAGTTCTAAGTAGGCTATAAATATTTCAGATTGTTTTCTGCTTGCTGGCTGCGGTGGATGTGAACAGACATTCATTAACAACAGATTTACTCTCTAGAAAATGTTGCTGTCATAACTATCTGATTGGAATGATTCATACACAAACCAGCCAAGAAGTCATTTCCAGAGAAACTCCAAACTCAGATTAAGCAAAGTCCTCAGAAGAGCCAATGTAAACCTTTTTCTATGAACTCAGTTAACATGTGCAGGCAGCACTGAATATCTTGTACCCATACACCTTTTGAAAAAAGTGTCCTAAATCTAAATGAATCTAAAGAGAGGCAGTAGCCATGGATTCTAATCAGATTCTTGATGATGGCTATGTCTTCACTGAAAATATTATGTATTTACACATGAAGATACCTCTCTCAATGTAAAATCCCACTGGCGATAAGGCACAGGTGTCTCTCACCTCAGCATAACTAGTTGAGGTACCTGCACTAGCTAAATCTAGGAAAAAACTGCTCTGACTTGTCTTCACTAGGATTTCACATCAAGAGAGCTATCTATCTCAATGTAAACACACATGTACACACACGTTTTTCCTCCAGTAAAGACATAGCCAATGACTTGCTCTGCAGCATTGGGGACTGACTATTTGGCCATCCAAGTATTTTATACAAAATAGAACAATTTTGACAGAAGAGATTGAGAAAGCCCTATCCCAAAATACCCTACACCACTGCAATTAGGACACTCTCCTAAAATGTGGGAGACCCAATTTAAAAACCCTGCTCCTGTGACACCCCCCCACCCCCGGCAGTTTTGTGAATCTAGTTCTTCATTTCTTTGCTTTGTATGTTATAAACTACCTGGAAATTAAATGAAACAGTTTGTGTCAGGTTGAATGAAATGTTTTGTTCAACTGGAAATGAAATTTTGGTTGACTTTTTTGATTCATCAAAATTTTTCTGAATTTTGGGATTTAGTTCAGGTAGAACCAATTTTTTTTATTCAGTTTTTCAAAACTGACAGTGAACTAAAAAAAAAATCACTTATTTGCCGGACTCTAATTACCCGCACCATGAGATTTAATCAGTTAATAATGTTCGTGAAGCACTTTGAGATCTTGAGATGGAAGGTGCTATGGAAGCATAGAGCATTAAACCAGTGGGAAGAGAGGAGGACACGATTAGTGGTACCAGCCTAACACCTGCAGCTTTCGTAATGTGGTGAACATTGCTCTGAGCCAGCAGCAGCACTCCACACATTTCCGAAGAGCAACGACATCACCCAGCCAGTTGTGAGCTCCCCTCTCCGTTCTTATATCTGTGTAGGAGCATTCCAGAGAGAGTGGGTTTGACATTTTTGCAGCTCATAGCTTTTCAAGGAAATATCAAACTTTAAACAACTGTTTTGTACGCTGACAAAAATAGCTCCTATTGCTCTCTGATCCTCCCTCTCTTGCTCCCTCATTCCCTCCTGTCCTGGCTCTCAATTAATGATTCATGACTTGTATTTAAGCTGGCTGTGTAATGATTGGTTCACTGAGGTCCCTGATGATGCAAATAGAGCTTTCACTGCATATCTTTCAGCACAAACTGGGGCACTGTTAATGTTAACCTACTCCTCACGGGTTAGAAAAGGAATCAGTCTTGCCTTATCAAGTGAATGGCTGTAAAGATCGACCATGGCAGAGGGGACAATATGTCTAGGGCCCTGTCATCTTGAAGATGTATTGGTGTCTCCTAATTCTATATACAGAGAGCTTCTTGGCACCTTTTGTATAACAGCTATGGAGCAGATTTTGGCCTTGTCTCCACGGAAAAGTTTTTTCAGTATAGCCTTTGAATTTAGACCAATACAGTTATACTGATCTAATCCCCTGTGTAAACACTTTTATTCCAGGAGAAGTGTGGCTTGGCGGTGAGGGTGGGGGCTCATGTCCCTGGGGGAGGGGTAAAGTTAAACCAAAAAAAGTCATTCTTAAACTGGAACAAGTGTGTCCACATTGTGTGTGGGGTGGGGGAGGGAGGGTGGGGGTTTATACCAGTGTAATTGGTGAAACTTTCCCCTGTAGCCAAGGCCAAAAACACCATCTGCTAAACTGATCCATGGCATCCATTTATTCCTACCATCCATCTGTCTATCTCAGGGTTTTCTAAAGTGCTCATCACTGTAGTATGTGAGTACTGTCCAGGTAAATTAGCATTGTGGGAAACTGGTGATGCAGATTCCAAGTTCTATGATTCAAGTAAAATCACTGTGTAGTCCTCAGGAATTACAAGGCCAGGTGCCACAAGTACTCCTTTTCTCTTAACGCCAGATTACTTATTTCAGGGTTCAGCAACACAGTCAGGAATGCTTGTCCCTTGCTGTGTTGTTTGCTCTGTCCAGAACCCTAGTTCTGACTACCTGGGTACTATCTCAGTCCTGTCTCTATTTGATCCTAGTGAATTTAAAAACTCACAAGTGCTCAAAATTCATGTGGTACTCACAAAAACCAAGAAATAATAGCACTGCCTAGATTAATGCAAGGTGGAGGCAGATGTTGTTTCCAACATGCAGCTTCACTGATGCATTTCAATCCTAATTTGCAGCATTCTCTGTATTCCACTGCTTGCCGCACCTTCCCCACAGCTCTGCAATGCATCTCCATCCTGAGGTTTTAGTTGGGAGCAGTCGGTGATGGCTAGTGGTGTTCTGTTACTTTCTTTACCCAGAAGTCACATACTATAGAACAGGCCCAACGAAGAAACTAACAGACCACCACTAGCCATCACCTTCAGCCGTTAACTAAAACCTCTCCAGCGCATCATCAAGGATCTACAACTTATCCTGAAAGACGATCCCTCACTCTCACAGACCTTGGGAGACAGGCCAATCCTCGCTTACAGACAGCCCCCCAACCTGAACCAAATACTCACCAGCAACTACAAACCACACAACAAAAACACTAACCCAGGAACCAAGCCCTGCAACAAACCCCGTTGCCAACTCTGTCCGCATATCTATTCAAGGGACACTATCATAGGACCCAACCACGTCAGCCACACCATCAAGTCTCATTCACCTGCACATCTACCAATGTGATATATGCCATTATGTGCTAGCAATGCCCCTCAGCCATGTACATTGGCCAAATCAGACAGTGTCTACACAAAAGAATAAATGGACACAAATCAGACATCAGGAATTGTAACATTCAAAAACCAGTAGGAGAGCACTTCAATCTCCCTGGATACTCAATAACAGACTTAAAAGTCACCATTCTTCAACAAAAAAAACTTCAAAAACAGACTTCTATGAGAAACTGCAAAACTGGATTTAATTTGCAAACTTGACACCATCAAATTAGGCCTGAATAAAGACTGGGAGTGGCTGGGTCACTACAAAACATAATTTTCCCTCTGATACTCACACCTTCTAGTCAACTGTTGGGAATGGGTCACATCCATCCTAATTGAATTGGCCTCATTAGCACTGACCCCCACTTGGTAAGGCAACTCCCATCTTTTCATGTGCTGTATATTTATACCTGCTTACTGTATTTTCTACTCCATGCATCTGATGAAGTGGGTTATAGCCCATGAAAGCTTATGCCCAAATAAATGTGTTAGTCTCTACGGTGCCAGAAGGACTCCTCGTTGTTTTTACTGTAGTTCAGTGATTGATTATCATGTAACACAAGGAGAAAGAAGGGATGTGTAGGTGCTGGGACCTATAAGGTTAGGAGCTGAGTTGGAGCACTTTGATTACTTGCTGAAATGGTCAGATATTGAATTGTGCTGCTGATCTTTTGAAGTCATTGGAGTTGTGGAGGCTCATCACAACTCAGAATCTGGCCCAGGGTAAATGCAGACCTGGTTATTACATGCCCATTGAAATACAGTCATATTGAAATAAGCGTCTCTAACTTTGGAAACTAACTCTCGTTATATTGCCTGAGCTACTGATAAGTATTGATGTGATACCTTCTCAGGGGTCTTCAGTTTCTCCCACTGGGCCATTCTGAAGGGTTCCCCCATATTAGCCAGGCTCAGTTTAATTTCCCCAACAATGCTGTGCCTAGAGAACCTGTCGCAGTTCCTTAAGGTGAGAGTCAGCATCCCTTCTAGCACCTCCTCCTCAGCTAACGGGAACAGCAGAGCTTCCTCCCAGATGATGTGGTGCACTTTCTTCTTCAGCACTGTCTGGGCCCCTGTGGTGCCAGACTTGCTCACCAAGGTGCCCAGGATGTAGCAGTCACAGCCAGCATCCTGGTCCCCTATCTTGCTTCCATGCATAGCTGGAGGACAAGGAGAGGGAAGCTTGTATTAAAAGAAACATCCTATTACAGGGCTAGGTATGCAAGGGCAGAAGGCTGTGGGGCCTTTGCCTGTCTCACTATAGTCATAAAATAACTGGATCAGAAAAAGAGCCTCGTATAGAATGCATTAAAGGCTCTTGGTCAGTCACAGAAGCTAGAGGTGTACAAGGCTGCTTAGCACGTCTAGTCCATCCCCTAGGGACCAGTGTGGTATGTCTCTAAAGTTCATTCCCAAGTATTTTGTCCAGTCTTTTTGAAATGGCCTCTTTGGGAGACCATTCCACAGTCTAATTGTTCTCAGTGTTAGGATTTTCCTCCTGATATTCAGCCCCAGATTTTCCTGTTCTTTATTTCATCTTGAGGCTGAAAGTTCTCAAATGAAAAAGTACATAAAATATCATTTCACATTCCATGAACAGTGACAAATGAATCTATCAGCCCTCCAGGCCAAGGGCTGCAGCAATGTCTCTACTCCTCAGCAGGGTAATGTAGCAACAAGTCCTCTTTGTGACTGCAAAAGTCAGTGTGCATGACTGTCCGTGGAAAGATGCCCTGCTCCCCACTGGCTCAGCAGCTGAGAGCAGTCAAGTCCTTGACACCCAAGAGACTCCTCTGTCTCCTTAAGAGAGTAGAGCTCCTACTGAGCTGATAGGGAGAGCACAACATGCCTATGAGAGCTCACTGAACATGCATGACAACCTCAGAAAGAAACTCAAGGCTGTGGGCTTGTTGCTGGCAGCTTGCCCAGCATGATGGCTGCAATTTAACACCCCTTCAGTCCTTGCTTAGGAAGGTGATAGCTGGGCTGGTTTTTGGGGGGACTCATACTATCTGTGAATTACTCACTCAGCTCTGCTTTACACACCCCAGGAGGACTGTGACTAGCAAGCAGAGGGTTAACAGGGTTCTATCTCTGAGTAGTAGCGCAGCTCCCCCAACTGCCTGTCCTTAGTGAGATTGCCAGAGAGCCTGGTCATATGGCTAGGCTCAGCTGGCGGGAGTTACCTTATCCACAGGGTATATAAGAGGAATGTGATTTAAACATCTCTTCCTCCAATTTGGCTTGAGTAAGAGGGTTGTTATCTGTAGCATTAGACCTTCCTTTTGCTAGTCGAGCTGTGTGAAGCTCTATAGATTTTCCTGTCACTTACGTGAATCATAAATCCATGAACTGGTTTGTCCTTCATCTGGATTTGCTTTACAGGACCAGACAGAAGGGCTAAACAAAAAAATGTTTGACTGGAGGGGTGGGAGGAATTTGGGGGTATTGAGCCTGTCACCTCATTGGGAGCATCTCCTTAAAACAACAGTAAGACAGAAGGATCTTTACCTGCGCACCTCGAACATGGGTGGAATAGGACAAACTCCTGATTCCCTCATACTGCCTTTGAACACACAAGCTGTTGCTAAACCATGGTGCATTCTTTTCAAGCAGTGAAATCTCTTGGCAATTCTAGTTTGAAAGCCTCATAGCCAATAAAGTGTCCCTCAGTTCTGTGGGGACATGTTGATTATTATGTAGGAGGTGAAATACTTTGAGTCAGAAAGTATCTTGTATCTCTCAAATAAAGGCTTGTTTATATAAAATAGGCAGAATGGGGAGCCACTTACCTTCAAGAAAGGCCACACACAGCTCAGCTTTCTGTCCATCATACCCAAGGGAATAGCGGAGTTCAGGGACCTGGTTACAGCTGGCTGCTTTCTCAGGGTTCAGGTGCTCAGTGACACACACATCCTGTACTGCACCTGGGACTGAAGTAACCCAGTTAGCAAGGCTTCATTCCTCATCAAGCCAAATTCACCACCTGGCTTCACTGACTGTTCTGTAGTGCTGCCCTCCCTCTCTCACTTTCCACCTCCTTCCAGATGTGGACAAGCTTCACTTTCTGTGTGCTACCTGGGCTTTAGCCATACCTCTCACTCCATTACCAACCCATGGTAACGACACAGGTGCTTGCTCTTGGATTTCTTTTTCACATATTCCCTGAATTAAACTGTAAGATTTTTGGGGTAAGGACTTCACAGCTGACTCTGATCCCACTTACAACGCTAACAAATTTTACTAAAGCTATTGGAATGAATTCAATCCTTTTTAGGGGATCCTCTTTTCCACACAGACGACCACTGTTACCTTAATTCCCACAGAGCCTGGCTAGGTTGAAAGTGGTGAGGCTGGAAGGTTGTGAGGCTGTTTGGATTGGAGTATATATTATGTTAATTACCTCAAGTAAAGCAACAGGCAGGACTAAAAAGGAAGCCACAGTATTTTATTGTCAGAAACTGGTGCATGCAGTATCAGTTTGGATCAGGTGCTGGAAGGCAGCAATGGTAGGGGGCTGGGACTTATTCCCCAAGCAAATGCCAATCAGAGTCAAAATCAGTGTGACATGGTATACAGAGGAGAAAGCAAACAGTTCTTGTTTTATTTTAATAACACTTGACCTATGGAATCAAGCACAGCAGGAAGCCAGAGCACTTGTGGAGCTGGTAGTGCACAGAAGATAGTGCACTGATACACACACCTCAAGCTCTGGTGCCAACCTATGTGCAGCCGTCTTGTTTTAGCAGCCCAGTCCTATTGCCTTCCTTCTGACGCTGTAGGCTGATGCTTAAATGGTCACCTCCCCTTCTTTCCCAGTGTGGAGGGGTTGGGAGAGTGGCCCTCTGCCCAGAAAGAGACAGAGAAACTGTCAAGTACTGCCAAGTGATTTTTCAAGTTAAAAATAAATCTTTATATAAACCATGCATGGAGTTCATTGTGCCCACTGGAAAATCCCCAGGAAGACTGTATTAATGTTATAGCCACCAGGATCAATTGTGCTATTAAAAAGGCAGCTCAGGAGGTAAAATCAATATGGGCACAGAACCATCACAAGCATGAAATGCTGCCAGATGCAAACAGTTAGAATTAGACTCTCTAAGGTCAGAGGACTCTAGACTTAAAACTATTCAGGGCACTGATGTGTGCCCCTTCTTCACTAATGGAACCCGTTGATGGACTCCATCTCTACTTTATCTTAACCAACCACATTTAAAATGATGGTGGACAGAGCAAGCCTCAGGTGGTTTGCCAGCTGAGCACATTTGTGCTGGGATCATTGAGAGAGAAGAACTATGGCGCCCCAAATGGTCATTTTTACATCTACCATTCTGATTATAACTGCATTTTAATCCTGTGTACAAGTCCTATGTTGCTTATCAGACACCTGGGCACTGGAGCAGTGGATCACCAGTCTGAAGAGGAAATGGTTCCACTGGACTTGGAAATGCTCCTACCATTTTGAGGGAGAACAAATAACTCCTCATTGACTTGTATCTTCATTCTGTTCTGATCCTGAACTTTATCTTTTCCTCTAGTTGGCTCTTCAGTTGACTTCAAGGCATAATCCACATAATTAACAATTTCTGGGGCAGTCATGACTGGCTTTGGGCCATAGACGTTGGGAAACATCAGGAGGGTCCGAGGCTGGATGGGTTCAGTAGTCTTCTTAATGCTGAACTGAAATAAAGATCCTGTTCATTATTCTGTATAGACTAGACTAATGCTACCAGCTTGCCCAAGACCAGCTGAACCCAGACCAAGGGAAAAAATGATCCAGCCAGTCATTCCTAATGCCATTGTTACTTGGCTAATTGAACTCACTGCATCTTCTCAGTTTGTGTCCTCTTCAGACTCACCCATCAACACATTTGTTTGCAACAGAAAAGGGAAACTTTCCCATTTGTTGATTTTCCCCTCCCCCTTCACAGTAGCAATACACCCCTACTTTATATGTCTATGCCAATTCCTTACTAAGCTCAGATGTTATGAATGGAGCTGGGTCTGTGCTGTGACTGTATGATCCAAAGAAAGCCAGTCATCAACCAGGCAGACTAGTTTTGGTGCTTGGAGGAGTGCCCACACTACCTCCTTGGGAAAGTGTAGTAAACATTTCCCACATGTTTGCCAGCCACAGCCTGACAGTCACACCTCCCCACATGTTTTGGGATGTCCAGTGCCATTGGCAGTGCTGTGTTACTTTTTCTGTCACTGGACTCAGGAAACACAAGGACTGGGATTGTGACTGCTCCTAGAAGTGGGAAGGCTTATTGCACCCTAACAGGCCAGACCTAAGAGTCTAAAACTGTTCTTTCACCAACATGCTCTGCAACTATTGAATCTTATTATCTCTGTGTTCAGGACAGCGATGGAAAAACTTCTTTCTTGTCCCATCTACAGCCAACTACCTAAACGTCTGTTCTCTGCTTCTGAACATTTATTTACCCTCTCTCATCTAAATATTTCCTGTGGTTGGAGTTATCATCTGCTGACTATGTTCTGATGCTTAGTTTGAAGCTCAGAGGCCTCTGAGTGGCTTTATCTCAACTTCAGTAGGAATTTTACAATCAAATTGCTGGCTGTTGTGAAACTAAGTTGATGGAGTTGCAGCTAAATTGAGTCAGGAAAGCGAGTAGCAAAATAACTTTATACAAGCAGCAAAGGAAATATATGTAATGTTTACTAAAAAGAAAATTTCCATGAAACTGCTTAAAGGGTAACAGGCTCAAGAGGAGGTCCAGGGGCAAACCTGGGGAACGGTGATCCAGTGGACTGTCAATAAGTAAATTGCAGTAGCTTTGAAAATACACAGAGTCCATAGTGAGAGGCAGTGTGGTCTAATGGATAGTGCACTGGACTAAGAGTCAGAAAGCCTAGATTTTATTCTAATCTCTGTCACTAACTGACTGTGTAATCTTGGGCAAATAACATTACCTCTTTGAGCTTCTGTTTCCTCTCCCACATGTTGTCCATCTTATCTATTTAGACTGAAAGCTCTTTAGGTCAGGTAATGATTCTTACTATGCATTTGTCATGTCTAGTACAATGGGGCTGTGATCTTGACTGAGATCTCCAGGTGCTATTGTAATATAAATAACAGTTTGGCAGTAAGGATTTTGAACTCGAGATAGGCCTGAGTCACAAAGTTCAGGCCTAGGTTTCAGAACTGTTCAGATTTTGTTTAGCTGATTACACAGAGAGGGACCAGTTGCAAAGTTTGGAGTGGGGTCAGGTCCATCTCAGTTTTAGATCAACAGGCCCTGCCTTTCTCTCAAAGCTTCATGGGAAAATATTAGCAATACTGTCCGCTGTATGATGGTTTTTTTTCATTTCCCTTGGAATCATCAGGCAATTGGCTACTGATTCTGGTTTATAGCTCACCCAGCACCATAGTGTCTGAGCACTTTCCAGGGAACAAACAAGATGACAGCATCAACAAATTAAGGTAAAAGTTCCTTGATTAGATGGACCGACATTTTGGTCTGACAGATCAGAGTTCGTTTTATGATTTCAGTCCCATGCTGATTCACAAGAATCAACACAGAGTACAGAAGGATAGTGCGAAAAGCATAGCAATGAACTCAGAGCTGTGGGATTGTTTCTATAGCTCACCCAACATAGGAACCCTTCATTGAGAAGGAGAGGCCGGTGAAAAATCTGTCAATGGGACATTGAATTCCACCCCCACCTACACTCTAAACATTAATCCCAGCTATGTGTAATTTAAATCACTCTGTGTGAACATATATTTGGATTTGTCCATGGAAAAAACAGAGACTGAGTAGGAGCTGCCCCAACTCTAATCAGTTTGCTTTCGTGCTTCTAAAGCATTTAGAAGATCTTTTGTGAAGGGTGCTGGAGAAGTGGAAAAGACTGTTTTATTGTGAGCATGCTGTCATGGAAGGATCTCTTGTCCCATTAACTGCCAAGCTATTTCATTTTACGTTTAGACTGAGAGAGAGAGCGAGAGCAAGACAATATTCTTAATTGTAATTAATGTTTTTCCATTAGTTACTTTGATTCATATTAATAATGAATGTGGATGGTGCCATGGGAGAAGCAGTCTCTTGCGTTAGAGCTTTTTACTCCTAGACCTCATGTCCTTAGGGTATATTCACATTCCTCAAGGAGCAGCTCAATAGCACAAAAAGAATAATGTAGTTTGGTTTTTAACCACACTCTGCATGTGATGCCCACAGAATCATAGTGACATAGCCATTAGCAATGGAAGAGTCCTATTACGTCATTGCCTCCATCTCCCCAGGTAGCCAGTACCGGATTGTTCACTATAGTCCACTATCAATGCTCTCTCCACTCTAGTTTATGACCTCTGATCTATACTCTTAGAGAGAAATTCACCCCTCTGATGAGGGCCAGCCCTGGCCGTAAGTGGGACTTACACAATGAGTAAGCCTCTTTCTGGCAAAAAGGAGGGAGTGGGATTTCACTCTTAGAGATTTAAACATCAGTTCTGAAATACTTAAACTTGAAATAACAGGTTCAAATCCCAGCATGGTCAGGTCAGACTTTCTTCTTTCTAAAGTAAATCAAGTGTGTTCTGTGCAGTTGGCAGGACCCTCTGGGCAATATCTTGGGGGAAAAATGGCCCTGGTTGCTTTACATAGACATTAAATATCCTATGCCATGGAGCTTGTGACCAACATCGCCTCTTCCTTCACTCTTATACAAAGAGTGCTCTGCAATAGCTATCCACCTGCCTGCTGCCCTCCAGACCAGAGGTGGCTGCATTTCAGTGGTGTATGTCTATACTACATGAAGCAGCTGAGGAACTTTTGAGATGAAAGATGCTATACAAATATGAAGTATTGTTATTACTATCGCTTCCCCTGCTTGCTAAAAGCCCAACACTTAGTCAGGAAATCCATCAGCACATAACAACTAACAGCTTCACTGGGTTTACATAATATGTTCATGTCTGCTCTTCAGAATTAGAGATGAGAGACATATGCAAACCAGTGGGGACCAATCCACCCCCTCCTCCAACTGCATCTGCCTCTGTTTATTGTTCATGCTGCCAGCTCTGCTTCGCAAGTGCTGGCAGCTTATACTCTTACTGAGCATTGCCTGCGGAAAGTCCCTTTTACAAATCAAACTACAGCAGCAGTCTTAAATAAAGTGAAGAGCAAGAGAGCTTAATCCATTCTATGTGAAATAAGACCAAATTAGATAGGACGCTGCTCTTGACCCTTCTGTGTTCCTCCTTGACATTATTAAAACGCTGGCCTAGATTATTTCCTTGGCTTATCTTGTATCTGACTCACAAGCAATGCAAGCTTGTGATTGTTACTGTCTCCCATGCTCTGAGGTTTTTTCAAAGTGACAATATAAAAGCCACCTCATTTTACTTGTTCTGTAGATATATCTTTGTTTGCACAAGACCCAATTCTGTTTATAGGTGCTTTTCAGAACTCTGGGGCTTTTCTATACAGCAGACATAGAGCTTGTCTACCCAGCTCTGGCAAAGTGCACTCGAGAGGTATGATTTGTAGAGTGCTCTAATATGTGGTGCTCTAACTGCCCTATGTGGTACACCATGGGAGGTAACTAGTTCATGCTGATGTATTCCCATTTCAAACAATGTTAGGTCAATGTTAAAGAAAACAATATAACTGTGGATCCAATATAGTCTAGCTTCCTCTCTCTTCCTCAGAATCCCCTGATACTGACAAGCCTCAATAATAAAGCGTTCCGAGCACTGGCTAGGTAGGACATACAGTGTATTAAAGTTGCTTTTTGTTCGTGGATGAAAAAAAAGACAGGATTGTTCATAATAACAGACACAGATGATGTACAGCACTTCACAGACATAAAACTAGATTTGAAATTAATCTTTACAATGAAAATGGAGTACTTTTAAATTGGAGACATTTTAGGGAGTGCATGTTCCTGGCAATAGGTTCCTTTTAATTTGGAAAGAACTAGCAAACATATGGAATATGGGAACTAGGGACATTTTGCACCTTCAGTGACAGAATGCTCTGTTCATCTTTCTGGAATTCTTGCAAAAAAAATAATAATTAGATACTAACTATAATACCTAACTGATGATGAAAACATTAGTCTCCTCCTAGTGCTCTAGGGTAATAATGTTGTACTAAAAGCTGGGTGAATAATTTAACAAGATATTGGTCACATACTATATTAAAATATTGCAAGCTTTGCTAAATTAGTAAATATTATGAGAGCCTGAACCTATGAGGTTCTGGGGACCCTGAGCACAGTTTGATTTCAGTGGTAGACCAAAATGCACTTCAGTGGTAGATCTGAACGCTTAGCAATTTGCAGGATGGGACCCGAAGGGAGAAGCTGCAGAAATGTATTAACACTTTCCAAAGGCTTTTCTTAAAGTCTTTCTCAAGATGTTATTCAAGAAAGTTGGTTACTCAAAGGGTGAAGTCATATGAAGAATTAAAAATTGGTTTAGAGCTAAAACAATAAAAAGTAGCATTAGAAAAGAAATGGTCTTTGTGTGAAAAAGTGGATAATGGAGTGCTCTGTGGATAGTGTCGTTCAATATATTAACAGTCTGGAAAACAGGTGAAAGTGATGCACAATAAAGGTTTGAAATGAAATTTTTCAAAGCAGCCTTGGGGCATGAGCACCCAATTCCCATTCATTTTTAATTGTATACTTTGAAAATCTCAGCCTTGCTGCATAGTATTGTATCAAAGAGCAAACTGGAAAAATCAGCAGATAATAATCTATTAGGTTAGCCAAAGCTAATGAGAAACCTGAGGAGGACCTAGGAAACTGGGCAACACATTAACAGATAACATTCAGAATAAATACAGGCAAATCTCCATTGGAAAACACACTCTACCCTACTCACTGAAGGGTTCAGAAATAGCCGTAATGTCTAGGGGAAAAGATCTAAGTTCAGTAAGGGTATCTACTCAATACCCAGTGGCAGTCCAAAAGAATCAATAATATGGATATGTGTACACCACAAATGTTATCAGCTTTGAGAGACAAGGTGGGTGAGGTAATATATTTTATTGGATTGACTTCCGTTGGTGAAAGAGACAAGCTTTCGAGCTACACAGAGCTCAGAAGAAGAAGAAGAGCTCTGTGTAGCTTGAAAGCTTGTCTTTTTCACCAATAGAAGTTGGTCCTATAAAAGATATTACCTTACCCACCTTGTGTCTCTAATATCCTGGGACCAACATGGCTATAACACTGCAGATAATCGGCTTTGGCCATCTTGTCTCAAAACAACTGCAGCAGAAATATGGTGAGACTGGGACTATTTACTTGGGAAAGAAAAAAAGAGTCCATTATATAGGGACTGAGTATGCACTAATGAATGGCCCAGAGAAAGCCAATTAGGATTCCTACTGCAGTTTTCAATGAAACAAAAATAATAGAGCAGTCCATGTAATTTAAATGCAAATGAATAAAGACTTTGTTATACAATATATCATCAGCTTTTGGAACTAGCTGATGTAGCATATTATAAAGGCAAATTAAGGTTTAGTAAGAATGAGAAAAAAATCATTCAACCCATATAAATGAGAAAAGCGTCTACAGTAACACGAGCTAGGGTAAAACTTTCAGTGACCATCAGGCTTTATGTTCCAGACCTGAGGTCATAATCAGCCAAGGGAAAAAAGTTTTTAAAAATAATTCTCCTCAAGGTTCAGTATTGAGTATTCCATAATTAGGTGCATCAGGGAAGTGTTACAATTTACTGCTGGTTTCAGAGTAACAGCTGTGTTAGTCTGTATTCGCAAAAAGAAAAGGAGTACTTGTGGCACCTTAGAGACTAACCAATTTATTTGAGCATGAGCTTTCATGAGCTACAGCTCACTTCATCAGATGAGCTCACGAAAGCTCATGCTCAAATAAATTGGTTAGTCTCTAAGGTGCCACAAGTACTCCTTTTCAATTTACTGCTGATGCATCTGGCCACTGACAGGACACAGGAGTAAATGGACCATCAGCCTGTTCCAGTCTGCCAGTCCCTATGCTCCTATTTTGATTGAACCCCTTGAGCAATTAAGTCAGATCACCAGGGATATCTGGCATTTGCAGCACTTCAAAACAGCTGTTATAGTAAGTGAAAAGGAAAAGAAAAAGCAGTAGGCATGGTGAGAAAGTAGACTCTCCACAGTTAAGGTTGTTACTAGATTCATATTATAAACCTTATTTTAACCTCATGTCTTAACTTTCCTAAAACTTCATCTGTTTCACATGTGGAGGAGGATTGTTTTCATAATAAACCAGCTATGTACACAGAAGCCTTTCCACTATACTGCTGTAGCCATAAGTGTCTGTGTGTGCAAGAGAGAGAGAGAGAGAGAGATTATAAAAGATTCTGACACTATTGATATTCTGCTCCTACTCTGCACACAACTATGTTCTGACTGCTTCTTAGTAGAGTCCAGGTTTCTGTTCTAGCCAAATGATTTCCCTTGGGATCTAGCCTGACAATTCGAGTGGAATTTCAAATCTTCTTTTTCTGTATTTTTGCCACGAGGAGCTTTCTCTTTGGTAAAAGGACCACTGAGTTGACTGTTGCTTTGTTCATTTTGCAGGTCACCTGAGTCTCCCTTCCCCCACTGAAATGTTGCTACATCCTGAATCCTGCAAACAAATAGGATGTGATAAATCACCCACCACAGTCTGGCATGGACTTTGCATTCCTGCCTTCTACACTTACAGAAAAGTGGCAAAAAGAAAAGGAGTACTTGTGGCACCTTAGAGACTAACCAATTTAAGTGGCAGAGTAAATTAGAGAAGGTAGTTTACCTGCTGGACTGGCTGAAGCGTACTGGGCTTAGCATTTTCACTGTCCATGTCTTGGTCCTTTCCCGAGAGTCCTTTCCTAGGTTGCCTGCATTTGCACAAACAGGTAAGACCGCAGAGGGCAAGGATGCTAGTTGCAGTCCCCAAGGTGGCACCCAGAGCTATAACTGGGACAGACAAAACCATTGTCTCAGGCTGCACAGATGTTACGCAAGAATCATGCGATTCTTCTTCTCAAGCAGTATGTATTTCATTCATTCCCTTTCAGAGTTTAGTCTGGTTTCATTCACTTTGAAGTAAGAAAAAGAGTTTCAATAACAGCAGGGAAAAGAAGTGACTCTGAAGAGAGAAATAAATTATTCCAGGTTTGCTAGGCAATGAGGCAGCCTCTCCAACCTGCTGATGGAGCTTCTGGTTTTATGTTTCTGGCCAGGCAGGGAAAAACAGAAGTAGTAGTGGCTGTGGTGCCTGCAATCCCTTTACAGCCGCAAGCAGGCAGTTTTCATTGAAGCTTGTTCTCCAGCTCCACGGGGAAAAGTCTGATGTGCGATAGAGGGAAGACGTCAGCAGAAAGGGGTGGGCCCTGCAAGCTAACCCATAGAGAGAACGTCCAAGTGTTGGATTAGCTCTTTAGCAGGGTTTGGGAGGGCTGAGTTTTTAATTCTCCGGGGGGAGGGGGGGGATTGAGTTAGGGGTTTTTTTACTTAAAGTTAATGTAGTGGTTGATGAAAAGTGCCAACCTGATAGCCCTGGAGACTGGCACAATGAACTCTCTATAATAAGGGCAAAGCTTGTTTGTGTGGGAGACAGAAGTTCTTCTCAGGATCCAGCCTGAGACAGCAGAATGAACTACCCCAGAAACCAAGGGCCACCATAAACCTCAGCACCTTCCTTTCCAAGTGCAAGGCACATTTGTTTCACCTGCCTGCTTTAACATAAACACATCTATTCTATGTGTGTGTGTGTGTGTCTGTCTGTAATGTATAAAAATAAACCCTACCAAAACAAGACATTCCAGTGCACACACTTCTCCCTCTGAGGAGAGAACAAACGTGACAGATGTGTAGTCACATTGCTTAATGCCCTACTGGAAGGATCTCAGGTACTGCAGTGACATGTGTGACACACAAACCTAAACAGAGCAGAGAAGGGCTATGCTTCCTTTTACTGCCCTGCCAGCATTCCTCATCCCTGGAAGGATCCCTTCTTGAGATGATAGGGCAATTAATTTTCAGTGTCCCATTCAATCCTTGCTCTCTCTACTGAGACTGACATAAAGAGGGAAAATTAGTGCCACCTCTAAGGGTGTTTTTGGTAATATGGACACCTGTCCCTACAAGGACTGGACCAAGATCAAACTTGGCCCTGTACATATTGATAAAACTTTTTTAAAAAAATGCTGAAACCCCGTCATTCTGTAAAACTGAGAATTTAAATTGATAAAAATAGAAAAAAAAGACTTAAAAATAAACATTGATATCCATCAAAATTACATAAAAATAAAATTCAAATTCAGCCAGGCCTAATTCTAATGGCTCCTTGAAGCTTTCCTTTTGATCTCCTCTTTGCATTGCCTCACATTCATATTAAACAGTGTGTGAAGTTTCCTGGGATCCTTACGGCTGCTCCATGAAGACAGGAGCGCAGGAGCAGGGAGGCTGGTACAGGGTAAACAACATTGCCCAGGAGGTTCTGTTTTCTTTTACCTCTTCCAACAGTCCTAAACAAAACTGCAACAGTCAAATCAAAGGCCTTAGTGATTGGGAATCAGTCTTCAAGTCCCAGAGCAGAGAAGTGCTGTGGGTTACCAAAAAGGACAGAACTGAATACTAAGGCCATGTGTTTCAGCTGTATGTCTTCACTTTAAATCAAGGCTTTCCAAGCAGCCTCATCTCCAGCTGCCCTGATTGTGAACCCTCTGAAGCCAGTACCATACAATTTTTGGCTGCAGCTGGTTCCCTAGGGGTTGCCAGTGGATGGCAATGTATGGCAGCTTTCTATTGTTACAACTTCTTCCCCTGAGTAGACTTTCCTGCACTACTGAAAACATCTGACAAGGCAGAAGTCAGCACACACCCTGGGCAGTGATTTGTATCTCTTTATCAGACAGCATGAAACAGATGTGGTTTCCTTAAAAAAATCAGATTAACACTGCGAATCTCACCAGAGAGAAGAAATTCTATAAATGACACTCCACAGTTATACATAATAGGGGTCAACTCTCTGTACTGGAAGCTAATGGAGATTGTCACAGGGTCACTGGCCCCTTTAAATGAAGCAGGTCCAGCTCCCCTATGCCAGTACAGGTGTCCCCAGTTTGGCCAGTTAAGTGGGTGGGGTAGCACTTAGGATTATATGGGATCAAGGAGAATCAGAGAAGGAGGAGGCTGTTCCTGAAGGAAGCTGTGTGAGGTTTGTGGAGAAGGCTGAGGAGAGTTGAAGATAGCAAAGGGAGTTGCTTGCTGATTTACAAGTTTGTGAGCCAGAACTGAGGGCTGAAGGGAGGGTAGTAGTGGAGGGGCTTAACTCCTGATATTTCCATTCTGGAGGGCTGAGGGCCAGGGGAACAGTGGAAGGGTCTAGCTGTTGACCTATCTGAGAGAAGAAGTTAACGTATCAGGGATGGGAGGAAGTATGATAGAGGATGAACTTCCAGCAAAGAGGCTGGGTGTATGTGTCCTTGCTTGGAAGAGTAGGGTTGTACTCCACCTAGAAGAGCTGGGGTGGTCCTCCTGACAGAAAGCCAGGAGAGGAGCAAAAAAGAGCCTACCATGTAATAGAAGATGCTGGAGTGTGGTATGTGCTATGTTGATGGACTGATGTCATGGGATTTAAGGACTCTTTGTGCTGTGGGTGACAAAAAGGCTGCACTGGAGCTTTTGTTATGGATTATCTGCACTATGTCTTTGTAATAAATCCGTCACAAGGAGGCAAGAGAGCATGTCTTAGAGGCCTGAGAAGGGAAGTGGGACGGTAATGCTGGTATTGGGATACCCAGCCACAAGGCGGTGCTTGGGAAAGGGGCGGGGGGGGACAGTTCACCAGGATATGGAACTGTGTTCTGTGATTGTCTTAGTAGTTATAACACTAACCACTGATTATTTTTTTTCATGACTGAAGACAATGTACATGGACAACTGAGAGACCAGTTGGCTGTGAACTACAATAGTTCAATTTCAATCAAGGGTCTGTGCATAATGGCACATTAATATAAGCCTGAGAATGTTCCTGCACTAAAAATAGGATTGGTAGATTGATTTTCTTTTGGCATGACAGCCCTAAAGCAAAAATAATGCGAAGGTTTCCAACATCAGCTGTTGGACTTAAAGTGAAGCAATCAATAGAAGTTCCATCAGCTCAGCATTAACTTTCAGATGTTTCTGTGTCCATCAGTCTTGAGCTCCAGACAGAGCCAAACAGGGAGAAGAGACACCACCAGAACAGAGAGGTAAATCCAAATCTGGTCAGCATGAAAAAGCTGACCAACAACAGAACTGCCACAAGGCAGCTTAGGGATGTTGAAAAGGACAGAGCCACCAGTAAGACCCAGGAAACTCCTCAGAAAAAGAGCTCTGTTATGAATGGAAAAGACACATTCAGCATAGATCAAGAAAGGCTTCATTTCAACAAGACCGTTCGTGTTCCATCGGTTAGCTTCCTCAGCCTCCTAAGAGATTGATCATGCACAGGGCAGGTTTGGAGAGTTGCCTATATAGGTGTAAAGTAAAAAGGGATAAGCAAAACAGAGAAGGTAAGGGAAGCCGGTCCTGTGTTAATGTTGAAAGGCCACCAAGCCCGAGAGGCACCTCATTAGCCTGGGTCTTATTTAATCTCTTGTTACCTCAGATATGCCCATGGATAACACATGGTAAAAGACAAAACATAGCCACTGGACACCATTTGGTGCTTGAAGCTCTTCCAATAACATTTTGAGACTTTCTGCCCATCAAGCAGTGTGGAAAGGCCCTTCTCTGAATTAAAGAAAATAATTGCTAGTTGCTCGCTAGTGCAATAGTGACAAAACATTAGAAAGTTTTCATATAATCTGTAAGTAACTGCATTGTACTGGTGGTGGTTGGTGCCCCTCAGAAAAGGCACTTACTGCAATTGCCAATGAACAATGTAAACTGCTCAGGAACTTTGCACCATTAACACTGCCACTAGAGGCCACAAATTAAGCTACCAAAATCCCTCACTAGCACAAAGATTACACTTATGCCTGTGTGCAACAGGGTAGAAAGTTTGTTCTGTTGACCCACCCCATTAGCAGGGGTTGGAACACTGCAGGGGAGATGCTGAGCCATTGTGGCAGGAGGAAATGGGATTGGCATTTCAGACAGAAGGAACTAAGGTCTGGGGAAAAGGTCTTTTCAGAAAAACCCTTGCAACAATCAACTTGGGGAGAAAACTCAATAGTAAGGCAACAAAAGCACACACCTTAGCTTAAGTAAACAATGAAGCCAAGTCCCAGAAATGGGATAAGCCTGAAAAGGATCATGGTCTAAAGGTGCAATGCATAATTTCTTTGAATAATTACTCATTCAAAATGTCAATTTCAGATGCACCTGTCCGTTGCACCCGATTACTTTGCCCCAGGGGCTATTATTCCCAGGAAATTGTCAGTTATACTCATATCAGTGGCAAGGAATAGAATCACAGAAATGTAGAGCTGGAAGGGACCTCAGAGGCATCTAGTCCAGTCCCCTCCGCTAAGCCAGGATGATGTATACCTAACCCACCACTGGCAGGTGTTTGTCCAACCTGTTCTTAAAAAAACCTCCAAGGACAGGGATTCCACAACCTCCCTTGGAAGCCTAGTCCAGAGCTTAATTGCCCTTATAGTTAGGATTTTTTTCTAATATGTTACCTAAATCTCCCTTTCAGCAGATTCAGCCCATTACTTCTTGTCCTACCTTCAATGGACATGAAGAACAATTGATCACCATTCTCTTTATAACAGCCCTTAATATATTTAAAGACTGTTATTAGGTCCCCTCTATCATTTCTTTTCTAAAAAGTAAACATGCCCAGTTTTTATGTTGTTCAAGACTTTATTATTCTAGGAGAATTTCAGTTACTAAACTAAAATGTGTTGCTGGAAGCATCTTTCAGTTTTGGCATTACAAGGTCCTTCTTAATGCATCACCTTTATGTATTAAGCTTTGGCTCTTGCAAGTCTCATTGCTCTATAGCAGCTAGTAATGTCTTAAGTGTATGGGGTTTTCAGGTTGCAGGTGAATGTAGTATTATTATTATTATTGTTACCAGTTAAAGGACAGAAACTCTCTGGCTTTCAGTCCAGAGCTAGAAGGAAAGTATCTGAGGAGCGTTGTTATTGATAGTCTGGTTCGTAATAAATTCTGACCTGCAAATTATTGGCTGCACTACTTTTTCATGAGTCCTACAAGAAATTGTCCAGCTAATGATAGAGAAGTTAAAGTTGAGGGACAAGCAGGTATAGCTTTTGTGCATTTCTTTAACACCAAACAATATCAAAATGACAAAAGTGTATGTAACAACTTGTGTTTAGGGTGAGTGCATCCTTCTCCATAGGCCCTTATAT